AACTGGTCCGGTTATTTGTGGGCACACGTGCATCAGTTCTGAGCGGTGTAGGAACAACGTCTTTGTTGACTAAAAGATCGTGTTTTTTCTTAGCAGAAGTGAAGTCAATGTCTTCCACTGGTACATAAGGTATCTCTTTTTCATGACCGGGAATCAACCACTTGCTCTTTTCTTGAGTGCAAGTTGTCGAATGATGCATTCTCGATGCAACTTCAGCCGCAAACATGATGGCTGCCACGTGTGAGCAAGCTTCGCTCAGTCCCGCCATACAATCACAATGAGCAGTTATTATTCTCCCTGTCTTTTCAGCAAAAATCCATGATTTTAATGGTGTATCACGAGCACGTTGAGAGTGATTTACCTGAAGATAAAAGCAAAGACAAGTATGAGATTCACTGCTCGAACCAACCTACTTGTAAGCTTGACTAAAACGTAAACAATCATTTCGAGTACAACACTTACCCTCGCAAAAACGACTRCTTTATCGGGYTCAGCTGCTTTGTGCATTAGTAGTGTACTGACCCAACCAGAAATGAAGAAATTATAGGCCTCCATAGATTTGTAAGCCTTCATTTGAGCGTTGGTAGCCCACGAGGTCTGAAGTATCAAATAGTTCACTATGTCTGGATATTCTACGGCAGGAATTAGGTCTAAATCGTCGCTAAAATCACTTTTTTTGAGAGCATAAGGATCGAAACCGACTAAGTTAACTTTTTGTTGATATCTTTCTCGAGAAGGTCCATCTAAAGTGGAGTAATAGTCGGAAAAAGATGAATTCACGCTAGCAGACGCCATATTTGTTGAGAATTTTGTCRCTTGTATATCCTCCAAGATGGCGTCGGTCAGTGACGTCACAAAGTTTAGTCACGTGGTTGCAAATGAAGAATAGAGTGAAACAATGACAGTTAAGAGCCGCTTCGCGCAAAAACCAGACAAAACTGAAATTTTTTGGCAAGGCTCAAAAAATCAAATCTATTCATATTTTGTATATTGATAAGGTATGATTAGGTAACAATCGCTGTGTAATTGGTTTTTAAAAATATTTCATTTTTCGCAAGAAAATCGCTAATTGCTGCGAACGAAGTGAGCAGCGACACTAATCTCGCAGGCCTTTTGGGGTCCCTGTGCCATACATACATACTGAAGGCGAAAGTCGATTTCGTGGGCTAGCGATAGACACTTCGAGCCTACAGTAAACATAACATAATCAGCGGTTATTATCAAATGATGCGTCGTAAACTGCATGGTCTTTCTATTGCTTTTCGATCTCTTGCAACTGCAAGTTCGAAAAGTATTCAGCATGTTAAATACGACTTTATTTATTTGAGGAAGTATTTATCAAGGTGATAATCGTTTTAGCGACATTTCTAGAGGAAGGCAATGTGCTTTTATGAGTCTTTCAGCTTAAGTTATCTGCACATTGTGATGATATTTCTACGTGGACGACAGATACAATGGATTGTGTTTTGGCCGAATGAGATCTTTTTAACAGCATTCGAGAAGTGCTCTATGCCTGATGAAGAGACAATTTCTCTGAATTATCTGCCAGGTCGAGTCCTTTGGTCTCCGATGACATAACTTCCATCGCACATTTAGGCAAACAAATCAAAACAATCGCCCGACGAGGCAAACAAATCAAAACAATCGCCCGACGAGGCAAACAAATCAAAACAATCACCCGAAAATAAATTAAAAATTAAAAAAATACAGTCTGTAATAAAGTGTACATATACGTTCTAATCTTCTTTCTTTTTGCCATGTATTCTCCCTCCATAAAATCAAATAAACCTAAAACCAATTTGAACAAGCATCACAGAATTTACATATTGCAGCACTTCACTTTCGATAGGAACCGCTAGTGAAAGTCACATACTGGACCTTTGCGTGACAGATGCTTGATTGCTAAAAATAGCTCTCAAAATAGCCAAACTTTATACCGAGTTCATGTAAAAACTAAAATAGCTATTTTAAAAATTTAAATTGCAGCTTTCTTACTAACTCTTTGATATTTATTTCAGTGATTTTCAGACCATTTAGTTAAAAGGAAAATTTTCTGGAACTCGAAATATTYGCATATGTATTTTTATATGCAAATTAGTACCTTTACAAAACGATCATTTTTTAAACGTGCAAGTATTTTGTTTGCAATAAAATTCGGAGTGATTACTAAACAAGAAATGAGCTTTTCAAATACATAAAAATTAGTCTGGGCAAATCACTCTCAGTTGCATAGAAATGAATACATCTGGCAATAATAATCCGGTGAAACACCAAATGTTTTAAACAACCGAAATTCATTTACATTGCCTAAAATGTTCAAAGAAAATAAGCTCAACTCTTTTTATTTCAATAACATACGTTTAATGTTGATTAGATGTTTATATGCTTTGAAAATTGTTGGGTTAATAGAACTGACAAAATATGTGTTTATGTGTTTTTTCTAGGTACTAATTTGCATATACAACTAGATATGTAAACACTTTGAGTTCTAGAAAATTTTCTTTTTAATTAAATGCTCTGAAAATCAACGAAATAAATAAGAAAGAGTTACTTATAAATCCACAATTTAAATTTTTGAAATTRCTWTTTTACATTTCACACAAGCTCGGTAGAAAGTTTGGCTATTTCGAGTGCTATTTTTAGCCATCAAACATTTGTCACACAAAGGCCCAGTATGTGACATTGTTTAGCGATTTTCTTGCGAAAAATGAAATATTTTCAAAAACCAATTACACAGCGATTGTTACCTAATCATACCTTATCAATATACAAAATATGAATAGATTTGATTTTTCGAGCCTTGCCAAGATATGTCTGATTTTTGCGCGAAGTGGCTCTTAATGAGGCAGCGAAAACAATGCCACTTGCTTTCACTCTTTACTCGAGACTCTAGAGTGTTTCAAGTGGAGCAATTCAAACTTAAATTACGGAATCAAATTCACGTGAAAGTTACAAAATAGTTTGATTGTGGCTATGACAATTTTGCTTTGATTATTAATATGCTTCACTTGTAAGCAAAAATGAACTGGCCTTTAATGATTACCTGTTACAGCGAAAGTGAAGGAATAAGAAACCATACTAAACACCAGCAAACTGTGAATTTTCATGAAGATATTTCCAAGCGTGTTTTGAGACTACTCGCCTTTCCCATGCCGCTCAGGTCAACACGGCTTTTTGAACCTGTTTCATCTACTTTAAATTATTCTATCAAAAATTAAAACAACCGAATCGTACTGTTTTTACAAGATTCTTTAAGGTACTAAGAATGGATAAACTGGGTGCTTTTTGGAAATTATTCACAAAAAACTTGTAGCCTGTATATCAAAAATAATTTTATAGATGCATTACCCATAAAATTTCCATCTCAGTCATAGAGAAAAAGGTGTGAAATTTCACAGCTAAGGTGTCAATATTGGACAGGGAACCCAGAGTTGAAATCGGACATTTTTTAAAATAACTCACTCAAATCATATATTTTTTAAGCATGAATATTGAATATATTAATAACATCAAAAAATAAAACTTTTCACCGCAGCCCCAAGCAAAAAGTTTTTTATTTCGAAAATATGCGGAACTTGACTTTGCGAGAGTCTTACAAACCAACGGTACATTATTCAGCTTGGGGCTGCAGTGAAAACCTATATTGAGCCCTAAATAACATGTGTGCTAAGTTTCAAAGTTTCAAAGTTTTCTTTTGCAGCAAGATTCTGGGCTTTTATACTACTTTTAGCCAGATAAATCTCATAATCCGCTGTTTGTATTGTCCGTATACGCTCAAATACCAGCGAAACTCTGCCATTTTGAAATATTTAGCTTAAACTTCAATAAAGCTTCGATGTCCAGTCGATATTGGTCCGTAACTATCCCGAATTTGCTGAATATATCACGAAATAGCCACGATCTCTTGAACAGACGCATGGTACTCAACATGACGCCCAAACAAATGACGTAAGCCATAGCAACGCGTTTTGCACATGCACACTTCGACGTGTAACACGAACCTTCGTGCAATGCGAGTCTCACAGAGTCATAACAAACAGCAAACTTTACGATAGATCTTCAAGCTTATATATACTTCTACTTCCACGAGTCTTCTTTGTTCTTGATATGTGATGTATACAGACTGGTCTGAAGTTGCTCATGGCGAGCGTGGTATCGGGAAAGGAAACCGTCTACCAATCACAAATGATTTCCTCAAGAAACGTGGCTGGGCAGTTACCGAGAAATCAAAAGGTGTCAAATGGACAAACCCAGAAGGCAAAGTCTTCTATTCTTCTAAGTCAGTCGAGGAACATTTTCATGCAAGCCTATCAGAAGAGTCAGATGATGAGTCTTATCTGGCCGAGATAAGTGAGGATTGTTTGACCTCACCAGATACCTCACCGTACAAGAAGAGACGGTAAGTTGTAGGTACGCTGTCAAAAGTAAACTCTGTATCTATCTTGCACAAACTTTTAGTTACGAGAAAGTGATATTTTGTTTATCTAGAAGTTTTATTTTCGTTAATATCTGACATCTTCGCAAACTAAACATTTACATATACCGAGGGTCGAGCATTCGCGTGAACAAAGTCTTGAATGAAGCTTGTTGTATATATAAACACTAGCCTTAGCCTTGCACTCACTTGCAATCTGTCACTTTCTAGAAATGTTGATATTGATTCATATTGACTTGTAGCAAGTAAAACGACACAGATTTTCTATATTTACTAAGGTTATGACTAGAACAAAATGGTAATTATGAAAACTTTATTTGTTTCTAGATATAGGACTACTTCCTATAAAAATATACAAAAAATAAAATAAATGATGCTTATTTAAATGCTCAAGGATATATACAAATCAAGGATTCAAGAAAATGAATCAGTATGGAATATATATATATATAAAAAAATAATCCTAATAAAATAATAATAATAATCAGCATTCTCTGTATGTAGCTGATTATAGAGTGTTTGATGTAAATGTATAAAACCATGAAAATAATGTTTCTCTCACTCCAAATGTAAACATAGAAATTAATTCTGTTTTGGTTTTTGCATTGTCAGACTCGACGAGAAAGACAAAGTAGAGCTTCCAGTAAAGTAGCACATTGGGATGACACCACAACTAGAAGACTTCATCAGACAAATAAATGAGAGCCGTTGCTGCACTGTACATAAGGATTGTAAAGGTATGCATGTTCAATGTAAAAAGACTGTGATTTAGATTCCCATGTGTATGGCGAAGGGTATTTACATTTGTGGTTGAAACAAATTTTATCTACATACAATCTATAATTATTATGGCTTTGGCATAAATCTCTTTAGGATAAAATGATAATAAATGTGCTGAATATAATGTTGTTCCTGTTCATTGTAAAGTGATAATAATTGACATTATATATGTATACTATAAACAGTTCGGAAGCAAATTAGTGCTCTGAAAGTATGCTCATTGTAGTAATATTAATTTTTTAGGGACCAGATATTTGTGTATTTTATGTGTTTCTTTTTTATAGGGAAACTTATACCAGTAAAAGTACAAGACAAGGGCTTGGGGGGTGCAGTAAAAGTTCAGTTGGCTTGTTCTGGTTGTGGTAATGAGATAAACTATTCCAGTAGTTGGGTATCACATGCTTACCACAAAAGGAACTGTGTTTCCTTAGCATTGGCCCTTTGCTTCCTTGTATATGGTCAAGGATACCATACCTATCACAAGGTTATGAGGTTAGGTATGGGTGTTGATGTATTGGCTAGCCCTAATTTTCAGCGTATCAAAACTCTAGCATATCCTCATGTTAGAACTATGTTGGATAGTATGTGTGAGAGGGCTAAAGACTGTATGAAGGCAAAGCCTGGTACAGATTTAGGTAGCTGGCAACGGGGTGTGACCACGTCTGACGGGTGCTGGCTTATAAGAGGGTTCCACAGTCAGTGCTGTACTTTTGTTATTTTAGATTTTTTGACTGGTGGGATATTGTACTATGGTCACCTGTGTATGAGGGGTAAAAAAAGTGTATGTGAAACCGACATATGGGCAGGCACCTCTAAAGCTGCAGAGGGCCACTTGGCTTTCTTATTGTTTAAAAGGGCAAAGGAAGAAGGCCTAATGTTGCCCTGAATTGGCAGGATCAAGATTCCACTGCTGAACTGTCATTCAGGAGCATTTTCCCGGATGGAGAACTCAATAGAGTTATGCTCTGTGGAGGGCATGTTGGCCGCTCTCATGGCAACAACTTAAAAGAGCATAAGGGAAGGAAAAGTGTAGAAAAAGGCTTCATTGATAAGCACAAAACAAACCACCCATCATTGAGTACAGCAAAATGCTGTTGCCAAGGGAAAAAGTACTCTAAGGGTTGTGGTTGCATTTCCCAGGGCTTCCTTTTAGCAGCAAAAAGGAACCATTTCTCTGCTTTAAAGCAGAGTGGAAAAAGCCCTGAAGTATATGCAAGGCGGATGAAGGTATTGGGTAAATGTCATTCTAGGGATGTGCATCAATGGACAAACAGTGATCGGTCACTGGAGGAATGTGGGTTTCACCCACTTGTTGTCTGCTCTTGTGGGAAATGTGGCCGCAAAGATGTTGCTGACAATGCTACTGAAAATGAATGTGAGGGAAATGATGATGTTGATGACAGTATGAGCAGTGACAATGATGAACATGATGACGACTGTGATGATAGTGATGATTATGACAGTGATGATGATGATGATGATGATAGTGGTGATGATGATTGTGAAGCAAATGATAACGATGAAGACAGTACATGTAGTGATTTGGATGATGATCCAATACTGAACTGCTCTGGCAAGCCTTTTAAGACACGGAATGTTCTATCTTGTGAACTTCATTCTCTTTTGTATGAAATAGAGTGTTTTAGAGTTGCACAAAAGGCACATGACATAGTTCATGACGAAATGGGCAGGGGGCATTCAAGCGCCCGAAAGTAAGTTTAACGTGCTAACACGCTTTCGTATTAAGAGTGTCAACCTTCACCAGTTACATTACGAGTTCATTACAAATATTGGTTTATGTCAAAGTAAATATGACATTTATGTTTAATAACTGTGGTGCATCATACCATTGGATGAGGGAACTATTTGATTTAATGCACCTCCCAGTTCCTGAAGGGCTTCCAGATGTTTGGAGAAAAGAGAATGAGAAACGAATGAAGGCACTGACGAAACAGAAAACGGACACAGCAAAATCTGGAAGAGCGAAGCAGAAACAGAAACGCCTCCAAGAAAGCATACAAAGGTAAAAATTTATATTATTTCAATTTATGGTTTTCATTTTGGACATTATTTGTAAAGTTTGTTTTGTTGAGAGTTATTAACCCCCAAAATAATTCACAGCTGAGAACAGATTTTTTTCTGCAGAACAAACTTTACAATTAACAGCTATATCAAGTGACTATATTCTACAATTATTATTTACAGAATGGATGGGTGAATACAGCTTATATGGTCATACAAAACATTTTCATTTTTCATTTTCAGTGGTCAATAATATTAATAGTAATAATTTTTTCTACATAGGAGAAAATTTATACAACGACAAAAAATCATCCACAGCTATGGAGAAGAGTGTCTTGATGAGAGCGAGGCCTTAGAAGAAGCCCAAAAACAACTCAAAAAGAAATTCAACAGTGGCACTAGGACACCGAAACACATTTCTCCTCCCTGGGGGTCTAGAGTGACAGTTGGGGGTCAGTGTAAATGTGGTAGCACTGATCATTTACGGACCTCACACTCAACATGTCCTTGGAACAAGAAGAAACGAAATAATGCAATCGATAAGAATTGACCCACCCATAAGAACAAAGTAACTTACTATATGTAATATGATATAACAGCTTATAAGACATATTTCAACTCGCAATTATAATAATTGATAGTTCATTTCTAATTTTTGATAATAAAATATTTAGCAGCATTTGTATGGATTTTCTTTTATTCATTCTTGTAGGAATAGTTGACAACTTACAATAACATGTGAAATGATGTTGGCTAGTCAGATTTCGAAGTTTGAAATTATTTCATTGGTTTATCATAAAAACCTGAATGGCATTCATAATTTCACAGGTTTATGTAAATGTATACATATACCAAAACAATTTTCATTTCAGGGACAAGTAAATATAACATTGCAATAAAATATATCTGTAATCTGTAAAATATTTTGTATTTGGCATGAATTCCTTTTTTTTTTTTTAATCTTTACACATACAAAGTGAAATATTCAGTAAATATTATTCATTACATTTATTTTGTTGATTTGTCATACTATTTTAGAAAACTTTATTATTCTGTAAATACATGTATATAAAAGTATAAAAAATCCAGCAATATACTGTGAAGCTGGTTGTATGATACCAGGATATCCAGGTAAGATATACCAGGATAAGATTTCCCTTTTTTTTGGGAGAGCTGGCCAATCTGCCCTCGCCAGATCTTCGAGTGTTACTTGGTAGACCTATGGAACAAATACTACTTTTGTAAGGCATTGAAATGAAACCATCAAAACGTTTTATTAATGGTTTACAACTACAATAGAAAAACAAAGTAATCAATAACTAGTCAGTTTTTATAAGTGTGAACGAATGAAATAGTCTATATCCTCTACTAGTGTTTGGCATAATATATACAAATTTTAGCGTAACACATCTACAACAATGTACTTAGAAATGCTTGCTAGATGTTAACAGATTTCTCTGAATTTACTTTGAAATGTGCCAAATGCTATAACTAAAAGTAACTTACACGTGAGCCGACTGGGTCCTCGTACTCCTTCAATGTGTCGGGCACTAAAGTCCTAACTAGTGTCTTGACACACTCTGGGTAGACGTACGTTGGCCTATTTGTCGTACCAGCTAACACTTCCTGGCCGATCTTTTGTTTTCCAAACTTAAAATAAAACGAATGACAGTTTTAGATGGGTTCGAGCGCTGTTATTTGACGAACGTGCTTTCCGMGCTGAGCATCAGCACGGGAGGAAAATAGCCGTCAATAAAATACATTCATGCTATTTCAATACAACTCCGTGAGTGGAGAATAAAACATTTGTCTGCTTACCCACATTACACACCACAGTCTACGATATATGCGGTGGCGTAGATCATCGCTTGTTTCATTTGTTTTTTTAKAGTAAGACTTCAGAAGACGAAGCAGGCCTTCTGGCGCAACAAGACTACAAATAATCAAACTTCCCATTAAAATCATACACAAACATCTGGAGATAAATATCGAATGTTTACTCACCCTTTTCGTTGAAATTCAGCTGAAAAAATCAGCAAAGCATTTTCTTTTAGTGTGCTACACATATTTYAGCCAACTAAAGAAACTACGATCTAAGAAGGTGCRAAGTATTCACGTGTAATCATACCAAACATTCTACAAGGTTGTRATTCTATTGGCTGATTTTGTCACGTGAAAAATATGTCAGTTGATAGATCGTGTTACTTCGCGTGAATTTGAGCTTGGAAACACAAATCCCTTCCCTTGTTACGTGTTCTTGTAGCTCAATAATCTTCTCTGATTTCAATATGGCGATTCAAAATGGCGTCTTAGTTACGATCAATTCTTCGATTTTTGCGATGTTTTCGGGCAAAAAATGAAAAAAATTGCTCGTTATTGTCTCGTTATTTCTCTATTGCATACAAGTTTTACTAGATGGTGGAAATTTGGTGAATTTTATCCATTCTTAGTACCTTAAGCTACTAAAGTTTATACTGTCCTTCATAAAGCTGAAGTAGGTTTATAATCAGAATTTTGTCAGATAAGTGTCTG